AAAAAAAAAAAAAAAAATAGATCGACAACCTGAATGGAGCTAAAATCATAAAATTCTTAGAAGAAGACATAAAGGTAAATCTTTACAAATTTGGATTTGGCAGAGAGTTCTTAAATATAACACCAAAAACACTAACAACAAAAGAATTAAAAATAGATAAATTGGACTTCATCAAAATTTAAAATGTTTGCATATCAAGTGATATTATCAAGAAGGTGAAAAGACAACTTACATAATGGAAGAAATATTTGGAAATCATATACCCAGACTATATAACGAACTCTTGCACATAACAGCAACAAAAAGACAATCGACTCAATTGAAAATGGGTAAAGTACTTGACCAGATATGTCTTCAAAGAAGATATACAAATGTCTAATAGCACAAGAAAGTTCAGCATCATTTGTTATTAGGGAAATGCACATCAAAACCACAATACCACTTCACAATTATCAGGATGGCTATTTCTTTTTTTGAACTGGAGTCTCACTCTGTCGCCCAGACTGGAGTGCAGTGGCCGCTCCTGGCCACCGCAGCCTTGACCTGCTGGGCTCCGGTGGTCCTTCCACCTCAGCCTTCCAAGTAGCCGGAATTACAGGCATGCGCTACCACGCCCGGCTGATTTTTTTTTTTTTTAATTGTAGAGATGAGGTCTCGCCAAGTTGCTCAGGTGGGTCTCGAACCCGCGGGCTCAGGCAATCCACTCACCTCAGCCTCCCAAAGCCTCGCGGGATTACAGGCTGAGCCACCGAGTTCGGCTTTATTTTTTTTAACCAAACAATAAACAGAAAATAACACTTGTTAGTGAGGATATTGAGAAATTGGAACCCTCCTACTTTGCTGATGGGAATGTCAAATGGCGTAGCCACTGTGAAAACACTTTGGCAGTTCCTTAAAAAGCTAAACAGAGCATTACCCAGCAATTCCACTCCTAGGTATGTAATCAAAAGAATTGAAAACAGGGACTGAGACAGACATTTGTATACTAGTGTTCATTGCGGCATTATTTACAATAGCCAAAAGATGAAACAACCCAAGTGTCCATCAGCAGATCATCAGGGAAACACAGTGTAGTATATACATACAATGGAATATTATTCAGTCATAGAGGAACAAAGTTCTGATACGTTACAATGTAGATATACCTTGAAAACACACTAAGTAAGATAAGCCAGAAACAAAATGACAAATACTGTATAATTACTCTTATATATGGTATCTGGAATACACAAATTAACAGAGATAGAAAAAAGATTAGAGATGACCAAAGCCTGGAGGTAAGGAGAAATGGGGAATTAATACTTAATAGTAGATCTTTGGAGTGATCAAAAAAGTTTTGGAAATAGTGGTGATGGTTGCACAACTCTGTGGATGTAATTAAATTCACTGAATTGTAGACTTAAATGGTTAAAATGGCAAATTTTATGTTGTATATTTGTTACTGCAATAATTTAAAAGATAGTAAAAGAAATAACGAATTAAAATTTGGTAAAATAACCTAGTGAATCTAGGTTTTCAATATGTGTTGGGGTTTCTATGCAAGCATTAGCTACTCTGGTTGGGTATAAGCATGAATAATGTGAGGATTGTGTCCAACTCTTCAAAAGGACACATGTTTAACTTCTAGGTATATTTTTAGAGTTGAGTTGTTGGGGCAAGGGAGGGTTGTGACAATAGAAAAAGAGTTTATAAGTGGAGCTGGAACACCACTAAATGTGAAGATGAAATCCTGCGCTTTTGGGAGACTGAGGTGAGTGGATTGCCTGAGCCCGCAGGTTCGAGACCTACCTGGGCAGCGAGACCTCATCTCTACAATAAATCAAAAAATCAGCCGGGTGTGGTAGCACATGCCTGTAATTCCGGCTACTCGGAAGGCTGAGGCGGAAGGATCGCCGGAGCCCAGCAGGCGAGGCTGCGGTGGCCGGGAGCGGCCACTGCACTCCAGTCTGGGTGACCGAGTGAGACTCCAACTCAAAAACAAAACAAAACAAAACAAAACAAACCATGGAGATGAAGCAAGGCAGAGGAAATTGTGCTTACTTAAGTTCTTCTCAGGGATATTGCTATTTGTGAATGAAGGAAGTCCTCAGAGTTGACACTAAGGTAAAGTTGGGAGAGAGAGATGCCCAAGGGGCTCACCAGTTTGTCCATTCCCCTTTTGTTTTGCTGCAGAATGTTTTGTGCTGCTGGTAAGAGGATTTTTCTGTACTGTGAGTTGCTGGAGCAGTGGGCAGAGCGTGACAGAGGCTCAGCTGGGGTCCTCTATAAATATTGCCCAAATATTTGATAAGTATTTAGTCTTGAAGGAGCATTATATTATTGGCTTGCTTTGTGTGTCTGTCTCAGTGTGACACAATGCACTGTTTCTGGAAATAGGAAAAAAAAAACACCTCATATTATGCATATGTAGGCAATTAAATTGCATTCTGAGGAATTGACGAGCACTAGCAACTTTACTGGGATGACATACTTCATGATTTGTTCATTTACTCATTTATTTATTGAGCAAGGTATTGTTTCAGGTTCTGGGGCTGCAGCATTGAGTGAGACAGTAGCTTGCCCTCCAGAAACTCATGGACTAGTGGAAAAGAAAAATAGATGATGACCATATGGTGTAATAAGAGGATCACCATCTATCATTTTGTCCCCAGATTGCATCTTCTGTAGTGGTGGGCACTTGTGCTAAAATAATTACCATGTGACCATTTGTTACTCTGTTCAATATAGGCTGCAAATCTTGTTTATAATAATCACTCATTTTTTAAAACTTTTTTCTATACTTTAACTGAAAGATAGTGTATTTTAATAGCTAATAATAAATGATGAGCCGGGCTCGGTGGCTCAGCCTGCAGTCCTGCGCCTTGGGAGGCTGAGGTGAGTGGATTGCCCGAGCCCGCGGGTTCGAGACCCACCTGGGCAACCTGGCGAGACCTCATCTCTACAGTAAATCAAAAAATTAGCCAGGCGTGGTAGCACATGCCTGTAGTTCCAGCTACTTGGAAGGCTGAGGCGGAAGGATCGCCAGAGCCCAGCAGGTCGAGGCTGCGGTGGCCAAAAGCGGCCACTGCACTCCAGTCTGGGTGACAGAGTGAGACTCCAACTCAAAAATAAATAAATAAATAAATGATGGCTTTACTAGACATGCAGAGTGCTGTAGGAGCATGAAGCTGAGGCAGATAACTTAACCTGACACATAAACAATGACATTGAAATAAATATTTTTGTTTTGTTTTTGTTTTTGAGTTGTAGTCTCTCACTCTGTCACCCAGGCTGGAGTGCAGTGGCATGCTCATGGCCACTGCAGCCTCAACCTACTGGGCTTAAGTGATCCTTTCACCTCAGCCTTCCAAGTAACTTGAACCACAGGCATGCGCCACCACACCTGGCTAATTTTTTGATTAATTGTAGAGATGAGGTCTCACCAAGTTGCCTAGGCTGGTCTTGAACCCGTGGGCTCAGGCTGATATAAAAATTTGAGGAACACTTCATTAACAAGAGTACCTGCACAATGAATATTTGTATATCTAACCCTGAATTGTACCCCACAATTTTAAAATTAAAAAAAATTTTTAAAGTTAAAAAAAATTTTGAAGAAAGGGTAAAATACAGGGTGGGGATGGTGATGGGAGGTGCATTCTAGATGGAAGATGAGTTTGAAAATAAAAAGGATAAAATTTGATGACTGACCAAATGCTGAACATGAAGAAAAAAGAAAAGTTAAGAATGGATTCAGCGTGTGGCTTGGGGAGTTGAACTGACAAGACAGCACATTATTCAATAAGGGAAGCACATGGGGAGAAGACAGTTTTTACCACGATATAGGAAGAATATTAATTTTCTAAATTGTTGAGTGTATAATACTGGACCCCAGTCATGAGTCAAAAATTTCCTTACTGTGACAAAGTTTACATCTTCATGAATGACCTTTTTCCTTCTTCCCTTCTTTCTCTCAGACGCTGAAATGGGAATGATAATTGCAGAATTATCTCTTGAGAAAATGAGACAGAGAAGAGATGTCTTTCTCCAGATGGGAAAGACAAAGAACTGTAATGAAAACCATCCATTTGAATTTGGAATTTGCATTTGAGAAATGATTAGAGGAAAATGCCCTATTTTTAGATTTAAATATTACAGTCATTGAGTTTACATGCCATTAATAAGCTGGGATAAGAGACTGATCCATCTAGATTCAAAAAAGTGAGGAAAGACATTTCCTGACTCACATTTCTTTTCATTAAAAAGAAGTAGCCAGCTTTGCTTTGGACGTTGTAGTCATTCAAAAATATTTGCTGCATTAATGCTATCCCTTCCTAAGCTTAAATTCATTTTAATGTATAAAAAGAGAATGACAGAAATAGTCAAGGTAAAAGTCAGAAGGAAAAATTGGTGTCTAATAAAACTAAGGATACCAAAATTTATTTAAGATTGAAGTAGAACTAATGATAGCCAATATTTATATAGTACTTAACAGTTTTCAAGTAACTTTATATATATGTTTGTTAGTTTATTCTCCATAATGACTTTCTGATGTATGTATTATAATCTACATTTTGTTGGTGAGGAAACTGAGATTTAGGATTAAGTAATATTCCTGAGCCACAAGGCTAGACTATGTAGTGGCCTTACAATTCAAGTTCAGTGTCCTGTATGGTAAAACAGTCATCATACCCTTCATAGAAATGTACCTGTCTTTGTGTTTTATTATTAGCCTTCTTTGCATTGATAATGACTCTGAGTGACTCTGTTTTACAATTTCATTGTAATATCTCAAGGCTTATAACTCTCTTGATCATGCAGGAAGTAGAATTTCTCCCATTTAATTTTCACCAAAAAATAAAAATATAAATCCTGTTAAACCAAGGCCAGAGAAAGATATATTGGAACCTAGACCAAATATGACTACCACAGGATGATGTGAAGGCTGAGGATGGGCTCAGCTGTAAGTGGCATGGGGAGTGAGACTGGTCATGCCCAGCATGGTATCCGGAAGTGGTAGCCCCAGTATGTGGTTTCAGCATAGTGACTGATGAGTGCTGGTATTCAGGTCAAACATCAGATGTATGCTGAGGTCCAGTTTTCAGAGGCTCCTATCAAATGAGAGAAGAGTTTCAGTACAGGCACAGCCTAGCAGATCACTAGATATCCTGCCTGATCTGGATGTGTAAACATATCTTCATTCCCAAGGTGATATGGGCCATTCCTCTGATGTAACGTCTGAACTTTCATCTTGGTATGTGTATTCAAATCACCTAGTTCAAGCCCTGGCACATAAGTGTCTTTAGCCACTTGACAGAATATTATATATCGTTTATTTTGTGGAGCTTTTTCATTAATTCCAATTATGACTGCTATATATCAGTAAATTCCACTGTGTTTTTTCATTATTTTTCTTCGAAATGTTTAGTCTGTTGTATCTCTGTCTGACTACATATTGAAGCAGTTATTTGCTAGTTTTTATTTAGACTTACATTGCTATTTTAATTTCTTATCAATTTGTGTTTAACATCAGGAGGTCCTTGGATTATTCATAGCAACTCAGGAGACAAATTAGCGTATTCAAAAAGATGTCCAATTTTGGAATCAGACAGGTTCAGATTCCCATTGTGTCACTTCTAGTGGTTGACTTCAGGCAACCAGCAACCTTGAATTATTCATCATCTGTAAAAACAGGAACAAAAATAGTATTAAATAAGATCAGACATTTAGAAGTGCCTGGCACAAAATGCCATACTCAGTAAATTTCCTTTTACATTTCTTCACATGATTGAGACTGTGTACATGGACTTAATTTATATTTATATACTGCTTTATTTTTTTTACAACATGCTTTCGAATTGTCATTTGTATCTTTGCCCAGCTTTGCGAGATAACCAGGGTAAGTAGTGTTATCACTAACCTTAGATAAATAAACTGAGGATAAGCCTTGCCAAGGATCATCTTGTAGCTAGGAAGTTGTGGAATCAGGACTTGAACCCAGTCACAACCTTTGGTCCATATCTATTGCCCTTCATACCAGGGTCTGGTATATTTTTACCTGCTGACTCTCATATATTCACTATTTCTATCTTTTTTCTTTTTTTTTGGGTTGGAGCCTCACTCCGTCACCCAGGCTGGAGTGCAGTGGCACGCTCATGGCCACCCCACCATCAACCTGCTGGGCTCAGACAATCAATCCCTCTGTCTCAGTCTTTCAAGTAGCCGGAACTATAGGTGTGCGCTACCATGCCCAGATAATTTTTTGAGTTATTGTAGAGATGAGGTCTTGCCAAGTTGCCTGGGTTGGTCTCAAACCTGTGGACTCAGGCAGTCCTCTCACCTCAGCCTCCCAAAATGCTGGGTTTCAGGCTTGAGCCACTGCATCTGGCCTTCTCTGATAATTTCAATGGCAACCAATCACCACAATAAATGAGTCAGTCAGAATGAAACCCCTGCCATGCTGGTACTGTAAGTTAGATAAGGTATAGATGTCTAATTCTGCTTACCTTTATTCCTAGGGCATTACTTACCAGGCACTTTGGATTTGACCCGTGAATTTCCTGAGAAGTCGTTTTGTGTTTTCTGATAGGTAATAGATTGTCCAAGTTATAAAATTGTAGATAATGGCTCTTTTTACTGGCCAGTTTATATAAGTCTCAGTCAGCTTTGCTGTATAGGTTTTATTTTTATTTTACAATTGGGATGATAAATGTTAGTCCATTTCTAATTGGTAAGCAAGTAATCATGTGAACTGCAACTTTCTGGTGAGGCTTCCAATGTCCTGTTATTAACCCATTAATATGACCAGCCCTCTAGGCATTTACTTTGGGCTCTTCATTTTGGATTGCCAAATAAGTTAGAACTAGTACCACCAAGGACGTTATTGCTTCAATTTCACTATACTAACTGCATTAATAAAGTTTTAGAAAAGTAAATATTTGGTGGGTTTGTTTTGACCTAAATTCTCAATTATTTGATTTTTTTCTTATAGTGACCCAGTGGCAATATTCACAGTACTCCTTAAATCTGTCTAGCCTGACACTTATAAATGGTACTAAAATTAACATTAATCATGTCTCGAATTTCTTTGCTCAAGAAGAGGGACCCTTTCTGATTTTTTAATCGTCTTGATATCCCTAGGGCCTTACAACACAATGTCTGCACAAAGTATAAAGCAGGCTTTGAGTGTTTGCTGAACCTGACTTTCAACTGCCCTTTTATTACGTATCTATACAAAATTCCATTGACATGTCAAGACCGAGTTTTTTTCATTGTATTAGAATAACTAGTTTTCAGTTCTCCAGTCAGCCTTTTGATGAACAAATAACATAGAAGTACCAAATAATTTTTTTGTTCTAAGTTCTGAAATTAAGCGAACTGATCACGATGCCATTCAAGGTAGTACTTCTGTTGTATAAAGTGAGGCATAATGACAGTAGTAAAAATACATTTTAAGATATTAAAATGTATTAAGAAAAACATGATTTGTATAAGAGATAAAATTAACATTTTTGCTTTTTCAGAATTTCTTCCTGATTCTGCTCCTGTTTTAATAAAAAGTCCTGAAATTGTCATCTTGATTTTGATTATTTCATTTTGGCCAAGAAATGAACGTTTTCAGCTGTGTTAGATTACCAGAAATGAGAATATCAAATAGTAACTGGAGCCCATCAGTTGTGAAAGTATAACGATCATATTAGCATCATAAATCATTTGCTTTTCAGTTCTATATTGGGTCATGAGAGCAACAGCTGCGGCTTTGTTCTACCTAGATGATGTTTCAGTAAAACCATTTCTGTTTTTAGTCACTCAAATTTACAGATTCTCCTTTGTATTGACATTAACCAGTGAATCTATTAATTTCTATTACCAACAGAATAACTAAAACTATAAATAGTTCTATATTTTCTCTCACAAACCCTTCCAAGCTACGTAGGTACCTTTAATAGAATATTTGGGTATTACATCTTGTTTCTCCTCTGTCTTTAGGCAAAATGCTAACTTTCTTAAGCCTGTCCTTTCATTAACAACAACAACAAAAAATCAACTGCCACAGCTCTATGTCACCAGTTGACCCTCAGATACATAATAGATAAATTGGGTATCTAATTATCTAGGGATCTAGATAAGATGTCATGTCACTCCATCAGATTTACAGTACTCATGTAAAAAAAAAATCTGTAATATCATGTTTCCTTGTTTGCTGGATCTGCCAAAAACCAACATTTTGTAAATACTGTAGATGTAATTTCTTTACTCTCTGTCTTCATACTGTAAAAAGTTTTAGACTTTTCTTCCAGATGTATATCCAACTGCATGACACCAATGCAGAACACATTTCTCATAGCCTAGCATATAAGCACATCTTAGCAAGTTTAAAATTTTTTTTTATTATTTTAAAGATGTGGGGTACAATTCTGGGTAAGGTATACAAATGTTCATTATGCAAGTACCCTTGTTGATGAGGTATGCCCTGGCAGTTTCCAACTACTTCCAATCCCTTTCTTATAGTATCACGGTAATTGTTTAAGGTCTGCTTATAAGTGAAAACATGTGATACTCAGTTGTTTATTTCTGCAATAGATCACTCAGTATTGTAGACTCTAAGTCCAAGTTTTAGCAAGTTTTAAATATAACTATCTTGGCCAACTGTTGTTCTGATAGTGGAATAACTAGTTTAGTGCCTTACAGTTTCCAAAGTAGAGCAGACTGTGCAGTGATTGCTGTAGCTCTCCTGGGGTTCTCAGAGGCAAGCTCCTTAATTTTGACCTTGAATGTAGCTAGCTTTTCAAGCCTTTGCTCACCTCATCTGTTTCTGATTTGGTTCACACATAGGGGTCCTCAGATGAACTCAGTTTTCCAGAAGAGTTAGTACCATTTGCTTGTGCTGTCATTTTTACTGGCATTTTTTTTTTCAGGTTATAGGTGCACAAAGATGTGAGTTAAGTAAACAAATAAAGGTATTGTTTTTCCCCAGATTCTGTGTGAACCTAAAATCTAATCCGGATATTGGGAGAGTTCTTTAGTGAAGTGCCAAACCTAAGTAAGCATTTGGTAACTGAATTGGCTGGACTGTTGGCTGATATTTTTGGTTTTGTAAACAATCACTTAGAGATCTCTTAGGAATCGCCCCTGTATATGTTGAGATTTCTTATTTTGGGTTACAGATAGGAACCCAGCCTTCTCTTTCACAAAAGCCTTTAATTAATTTTTTAAAATTTGCACACATTTTTAAAAAGTCACTACAAAACCAAAATAACACTGTACTCAATAAAATTAAGGGTAATAATACCTATTCTGTACTCAAATCTGCCAGTTTTGAAAAATAAGTATTTTACAACTTAATTTTACAAATCAAGATCCAGTTGAGGACCATATATTGCTAATAGTTGTGTCCCCCGGGGTTCTTTATATCCGCTTTTTCATGTCATTGACTTGTTGAAGAGGCTGAACCTGTTAATAAATAAGAATATTTACTTAAATTTATTTAAGCATTAAATAACCTTTATCTAAACCTATTTAAATATTTAAGAATATTTCTTTATATTTAATGAAGAACATTTTCCTACATAGCAAAATTTATATTAAATTTTTCTCGGTTTTCAAAAAAGTCCCTTTACATCTAGTTTGTCTAAGCCAGGATACAGTCCAGGACCACACACTGCAAATGATTGTTTTGTTTTTTTACCTGGAACATTTATTCATGTCCGTAACTTGGTGATAAGACAGAGCTAGGATCTAGGATCTAGGATCGTACAGAATGACCTATCTTCTGCATTTGGTTTCTCTATCCCTCTAACTCTGTGCTTATCTAATACATTAGCCACTAGTCACATATGGCTGATGAGGTTTTGAAATGTGTCTAGTTTGGTCTATGGCCACACCACCCTCAGTGCACCCAATCTCATCTGAAGTGTGGCTAGTCTGATTTGAGATATGATGTGAGTATAAAATACACGCTGGATTTCTAAGACTTAGTACAAAAAACTGTAAAACATTTTACTTATTTTTCTTACACTGATATACATGTTCAGATGACAGAGTATTATGGGTTAAATAAATTATGTTATTAAAATCTCACCTGTTTCTTGTTTTTTTTTAATATACTAGGAAATTTTATTTGGCTCCCATTATGTTTCTATCAGGTACTGCTATTCTAACAGATTTTATTTTATTTTATTTTTTTTGAGTTGGAGTCTCACTCTGTCGCCCAGACTGGAGTGCAGTGACCGCTCCCGGCCACAGCAGCCTTGACCTACTGGGCTCCAGCGATCCTTCCGCCTCAGCATTCTGAGTAGCTGGAATTACAGGCATGCACTACCACACCCGGCTGATTTTTTTATTTATTGTAGAGATGAGGTCTCGCCAAGTTGCCCAGGCCGGTCTCGAACCCGCGGGCTCAGGCAATCCACTCACCTCAGCCTCCCAAAGCGCAGGATTACAGGCTGAGCCACTGAGCCCGGCTTCTAACAGATTTTAAAACAGAAAGTTGCTACCCCCAAATGGACTCCACATCCGTACTCTGAGATGTAATAGAAATAAGAACATCAGTGGGCTGAAGTGTTCCTTAGCTAGACTTTTATTACATTTTAATTGCTGTGTAGTAGTTGAATTATTTTCCATGGTAGACCTTGCCTATAGAACTTTAAGACCGAATATCCTACAAGCATAGTATTGTCCAGTAGATCCAATAGATGTAACAGCTGCTGAAGATTTTGAATATTCCTGACAGCTGAAAGGGTTAAATAACGTAAACTTGTAAATGAACCGTAAGTACGAAATATAGTTGTTACTCCTGTGCTGCTAACTTAAAGAGCAAAGGCGTATATGAGCCAATGGAAGTTTGTGCTTCATTTTTCTATTTATTTACTTAATTATTTAATTGTTCATTTACTTTTAGTGTTGGAAAACCTTGAACAGACAATTGTTCCTGATTTTGGGTCACTGGAAAGTCAGCATGATTTCCGAACCCCGGAGTTTGTGAGTACTACTACTTTATCTTAAATTTGTACTGATTAGCTAAAACACTTTCTCAAAATGGGGAAAAAAAATTTTTTTTTTTTTTTGAGTTGGAGTCCCACTTGGTCGCCCAGACTGGAGTGCAGTGGCTGCTTCCGGCCACCGCAGCCTTGCCTGCTGGGCTCCAGCGATCCTTCCGCCTCAGCCTTCCGAGTAGCCGGAATTACAGGCATGTGCTACCACGCTCGGCTGATTTTTTTTTTTTTATTGTAGAGATGAGGTCTTGCCTGCCCAGGCGGGTCTCGAACCTGCGGGCTCAGGCAGTCCACTCACCTCAGCCTCCCAAAGGCGCGGGATTACAGGCTGAGCCACCGAGCCCAGCTGGAAAAAGATTTTTTAATGAATTTTTTTTTTTCTGTGACTATAGCTCTGGCATAGATGCTGTGGCAGTGACTGCGTTTTCAAAGCTCTGGTTTCTCTGGGGAACAAGTTCCTGAACTTTAGTGTCTCAGCATCATGCTCTGTAGGCATGTTCTTCACACTGCTCATGTCATTGCAAAGGAAACGCATTCTACAGTCAAATAACGTGTTTCTAAAACTCATTTGCTGATTCCATTGCTATCAGTTTTTGTTGTTTGTAGCTCTGGAAACCAGTCTTTACTGAGCACATACAAGCACATTGACTAGTGCCAGTCATACAAATGGTGGCTACAGCCTGCTTTTTGTTTCATTTAGAACTTTCAGTAATACAACCTACATGTATCTCTTAAGGAATATTCTATTGGTTATTCCTACCAAGAGGGAAACTAAATGCTCCCACTAAATTAGTCTCATTAAAGATTAGCCATGGTTTCCTACCCTTAAGGAATTAAAAATCTTATTAGATGCTACTGTGATTTTATTAATGCCTTGTTTAAAGAAAATTAAGCACATAGGATGCCTTGTGCAAAATGTCCTTACTAAATAGATTTTATATTGGGCTCATTTGGAGAGGAGGTGTTGGGAAAAAGTCTTTCTCTGACTCATGTGCCATATTATTGCACCAGATGTATAGGAAAAACATGCCAGAATCCACTTAGATTTACTGATTTTTGTCCCTGTCACAAATGGCCTGTCTACCACTTTGGGAATGCAAAAATCTTTTCTGGTTTATTTTCAAAGTGTGATGTACAGTCACAACTCCAGTAATTGGCAGAGCACAATTGTATTATTGATAAAGACAAAAAAAAAAACACAAAAAAACCCAGAACTCATTATATGCTTTTTCTCTTCTCGCTCACTCTTTATGGATTGCCCATTCAGTTCAACCAAGAGTAAGGAAACTAGGCAGTGCTCTGTTCTGAAAAGGGATGGCACATAAAACTGTAGCCACAATGCCATTTTATTTCAAAGTGTGGGACGCCTGTGGTGTACTTGCAGATTGCCTACTGTGAAAATCACCTGGATATAATAGAAAGGCATAGTATTCAATGACTGCCCTATTATATTCAATAAGATTTCCAGTAAAGGAAAATGGTGAATGCCCGCCAATATTCCTGCATCTTAAAGTAGCAGAGCAGTTTTGTGGTTTTTCTAACTTTTGCAGCTAGATCCCAAAAGCAGAACTGACATGGGTATTTCACATTTGAGAATAATACTGGTAGAAATTCATGGAACTGCCCTTTTTTTGTTTGTTTTATTCTCTAACGGCTTTTTGTTGATGTTCTTTTATACAGCATATCTAATCCAAAAAGAGCTGTATAAACCACCCATTGGGTACCATGTTCACTACTAGGGGGAGAGAAGGCTCTCTAGAAGCCCAAACTTCACCTGCATGCAATTTATTTATGTAGCAAAAACCTCACATGTACCCCACAACTCTGAAATAAAAGTAAATAAAATAAACATCTTTCTTTCATATATATAAATAAGGAACTTATATACCACAAGGTGTTGGTGTGTCTGATTTATCCATACATCATTCACTCCAATTCCTTGTGTGAAAATAAAAGTATTTTCCTCAAGAATAGCCTTTATGAGGGAAGACTCCCCCCCCCTCAAAAAAGCAAAAACCCAGAATTATCTTTTGGAGGGTGGGGCCCTTTGTAGTACACTCAGAATTTGTTTCTCTGGATCAGTCAACCAAAATTTTTTTATCTGGATGTTTTAAAAGGTTGTGCCATGATTTGCCGAAGAAATGTCCCAGCTGTAGCAAACAAATGACTGGTTCTTCCACTGTGACAATGTACCTGCCCATGCTGTGCTAAGTGTTCAGCAGTTTTTGACTAAAAACAGCATGACCCAGGTACCCACCCTCTCTGTTCACCCAATCTTGCCCCGAGCGACTTTTTCTTTTGTTTCCCTGGATGAAAAACAACCTCAAAGGGAAACGTTTTCCAATGTGGAAGAAGTGAAACAAAAACCGTAGAAGCACTAAAGGGCATCAAAATTGACGAGTTCAAAAACTGTTGCTAGCAGTGGAAAAAGCATCTTGATAGGTATATCACATCAAACGGAGTGTTCTTTGAAGGTGACAAGTTTAAACATGTAAGAATAAATACGCAACATACTATGAGGAGGGTTTTTTGGGTCCCTCATAGTATGTTGTGATGTTAGAGACTGACATGTTGTAGCAATACCTTTGTCACAGACAACCTACACTAATAATCTTCAGTATTAACTTCTTGGCTACCACATTTTCATTTTCAAAGTTGAAGACTGGCAAGTCTAAGCTGGAATGAGGGGTAGAACTCAGGCTCACAGAATACATTACCTTGTTGAGAAACTTGTTTTTGACAGTGAATCTGAGAACACCCAGGCTGAAAGAATATTCTTAGGCAAAATTCCCACTTTTATACTTCAAGAAGTATTGAGAGTCATTTTATCAGACCATATTGGTGGAGCTGAAATCTGTTCATCACCATTTCTCTATATGTGTGGTTACTATTAGATTTCTGTATCCTAGCTGTTATTTTGCTCTAATTATGTGTTTGTAGCATGTTCAGAAATGGAGTCTGTGCTTTTCTTGTACTTTATAGATTTTCACACATCTGATGCTCATTAATGTCACTTCTTTGTGCAGTGTGTAAATAACTGCTTATATTTTCTTAGCATCACCATAGCCAGTATACTCCCAATTCCACAGTAAACATATATTACCAAACTGCTATCTCCATGGTGAACAAACAGAAGGTGAAGAGGTGCCTTGAGTATAGGATACCCAAGGGAATTAGGCATTATATTTAAAGATAACCCTTTTTGTAGGCAGAAGGTTACAGCATCAGTGACAGCGGCGGTGGGGGGGGTTCCCATTATATAAGCAGATGCCAGGACAAAATCAGGTAAGCTGATCCAAACCACATTTTAAAATCAGAAACCAGAGACAATACAAACCTGGGAGCAAAAAGAACCCAAAGGCAAAGCAAAATTGAAAACAGAAAGGAGACTAAAAGGAGCTGAAAAGCCAGGATTCTATTTTTCTCCCTCTGGCATTTTGGAAGGTCCAACTGCAGTTTGCTGAGTTGAACTGAAATAAAGCAAAGCGTAGTTCATGTTTACTCAGGACTTATCCTCAAATAGTTCAGATTTTAGAAGGATCAAGAGCCTAGTGTTTTTATACAACGGAGTGTATTTATAGAATTTGGCTAACAGGGAGAATAAAATGCTTAGCGTTATTAGTTCGTTTCCTTCAGAATTTCTGTTTTTCTTTCATTTGAAACAAGGCCTAAGAGAGCAGTGCTAGCTGAATAGCCTTGGCTGCCGGCATCATAAGCACATTAAAGTTTTCCTTCACAGCTCAGGTGTCTATAATGTGACTAGCTGGGTAAAGCCAGCACTGCTGTGTAGTCTGCATAAATCATGGGGAAATAAAAGCTGCTGTGAACCTCCCATGTGGCCTAGAGACCGCAGCCCACCTTGCTCTTGGCAGCATCCCCAGTGACTGCTTCTCTAGCTCACTGAGGAGGTCGTCTATTGATTGCCTGTCACCTGTGTCCCGGTGTTGCTCCTCTCCAACTCCTACCCCACTTCTCAGACTGAGGTGAATGAGTTTAGCCAAACTGTGCTGTAATGTTAAAAGGTGGACAGAAGGCACATGTGTTCCTGCTACCCTAAAGCTTGTGGGGAGCTGTGAACATGTTGAAATTAGGAATTATGACACAGACCCACTCCAAGGAGGGATGGATGTGTGGGTGAGAGTCAAGGTGAAAGGGACCTGACAAAGATGGCCTCTGCGAAGAGTAATGTGATAGGTGATCTTGCTATGGTGGGAAACCATCTCAGACCTGCTTCAGTTTTTTTGTTTAAGCACAATGAAAATCTGCTTTATAACCTGTTTTATTAACTTACCATTTTTATTGTGAACATTTCCCATGCTGTTTTTTCTCTGACCTTATTTTTATTTTCTTCTAACATTATCTGTTCACTAAATTGTTAAGTGTAATAGATCACATTGTAATTTTGAAAGCAGATGATTCAGGGGAAATCTGATCAGGGAAATGGGGCATGACCAGATGCTCTGGAACTATGTGAATGAGGACTGTCATTTTGGGGCATGGATGAAAACAGACTAGGTGCATGACTCTGGGGAGAGAGATCAGTCTAAGTGGGAGCTGAGTACCAGGCACCCAGAGAACGTTGTAGAATTCAGTCTTAGAAATAGAGGCTACAGAAATGGGCTGTGTGGTTAAAACAGGATAGGGAGCCATCCACATGGCTTCTGCAATATGGTTGCATGTAAGATATCCCAGGCTCTCTCCCAGTGCTCCCAATTTCTGGTCTGGTTAAGAGCAAAGAATATCTAATGGGCAGTGTGGACTGGCCCAGTGGAGCAGACTTCAGGTTGATTCCAAGCCCTAATAAGTTAAAAAAATAAATAAATACTGGGGATTGAGGGGTCAGCAGGGGGAGAGGTAGTAGTCAAGGCTATTTTAAGGAACCCTGACTCTTTTGGCATTGATCCTGGAACTTGGATGGGCCTGATTGTCTGAAAACACATGGGGTAATGGTGGGGTGATCCAGCACTGGTGAATCTGCTTGTAGCT